ATTACTTTGTATCATTAGCTTCCAACGGTAATAATAATAGTAAGTTCACTTACTTAGCAGCTTTAATCAAGCTATGATATGAACATAAGGCAGAACAACGTTTGCTACAACTGATAAAGCTGTGTTAATACTGTTGTAGTTACATCTGATACTTGGAACAGTTTGCAATATTTCTCAAATTAAGTGGTCTAACCCCATCAAAAAACAGCTGAGGTTAGACCATTATTGACTCACCAGCATCCAACTATGTCAGTGAGTCACAGCAACACTGGACAAAGACAATGGCTGGGATAAGAGGATGGCGTCGAGGAAGGTGGGGGGTGGTGGGGGGGTGGTTTGCCAGCTGATCGAATCTTCTTATTAACTTTCCCCAGGCCTGTGGAGAGATAGAAAAAGGAAAGGAGGGAGGGAGAGGAGGAGGTAAGGAGGATTGGTTTAATGAAGACTCCTGCCGTGAGAGTTCGTCTGCCTATGGTGCGGCCCTGTGAATAAGCCTGGCAGACAGATGGGCTGAAGAATTGATCAGTGGAGACAGTCTACAGAGACCAGCACAGACTCAGAGGCTGTGTTTTAGTTGAGGTGAAGTACACAATCAAGGATATCAAAGACGATGAAATGTCACTGGAATTTACTACCAGTGGGAGAAAGCACTACAGTTAGAGGCACAAATGCGCAGAGGAATACAATCTAAATTGGAGTTTGATTTGAACTGACAGCAGAGAGGGGGCCATAAACTTCAAAACCAAACCGCGCATGCTTATTATTTATTAGACTGGCATGTCTTGAAGAATGAAACGGAGGACTGTGGAATCAGTCCTTGAAAGATCTCCTCAGACTGCCGATTCGGAGGCTTTTTGGTATCTTAGCCCTTTGTCTCCCGGTTGTCCTTCTGAGAGCTGTCCCACTTTCAGCCCTGGCTCTGTGTGGCATCCATCTTTCACACGAGTGACAACGCCCCCCCCCCCCAACTCTGCACTGCCACTCGTCTATTGTTCCAGCCCGGCACAGCAAGTCCCACAATTCTATCATCTCCACAAGCTCAATACTTGCCTGCACTGCTGATAAGTAGCCAAACACTGAGGTGATGAATAAATCACAATAAAGCACATACACATGTGCTAAAACCAGGAGGAGGCCAATTTATTTGGTGTATTTTTGGCTAGTTTGAAGAATTCTAGGACACATTTTGTGCACAGCTTCATGCTGTATTATTTGGTTAAGGTGCACACACCACTACTTATGGTGATGTTGGATACCTCACATTCACACTATTTCACAATATTGTCAGTGTGACATGTGTGACAATTGTGTGACTTAGGCTACGTTCACACTGCAGGTCTTAATGCTCAATTCCGATTTTTTT